CCCCTATCCTCGCTGTCCGTTCCTCCTTTGCTCGCCGTCCGTCCCCCTCTCTCCTCGCCATCTATCCCCTCTCACCTCGCCATCCGTTCCCCCTATCTACGCTGTCCGTTCCCCCTCTCCTCGCCATCCGTTCCCCCTGTCCGCGCCCTCCATTCCCCCTCACCTCGCCCTCCGTTCCCCCTAACCTCGCCATCCGTTCCCACTCTCCGCACCATCCGCTTCCCCTCACCCCTGTCCGTTCCCCCTATCCTCACCGTCCGTTCTCCCTCTCCGCGCCATCCACTCCTCCTCACCCCTGTCCGTTCCCCCTATCCTCGCCATCCGTTCCCCCTATCCTCGCTGCCCATTCCTCCTTTGCTCGCCGTCTGTCTCTCCCTCTCCTTGCAATGTGTCCCCCGATCTCCTTGCTATCTGCGCCCCCCTCTCCTTGTGACCCGTGCCGTTTAACTCCGACTATATTCATGTGTTTCGCGCCGGTTCCTACTGGCGGGTCTTACCCTAGATTCTCGTCGCAAACGACGGCTTCCCGGGCTCGTCTCAGCCGCATTTAGCTCGTCCCTTTTTGCGTGGCAGTACGACGCATGCTCTGGTCACCTGTGCGATTATTAAAAGCTTCTCCCCGTCCGCGTGAGGGTTGGTCGTTGATGCATAGGGCGGTTTTAGTTTTTGTCCTATGCTGTGGCGGCTATGGGTTCCTAAGCTTGTGTGACTATGAGATAATCTCCTCTTAAGAAACGTGAAGCACACCCATGGAGCTCCTGAACGACGGGTTCGAGATTGTGGTCGCACAGAACCAATTTTGGTTGAGTTGTGAGACCTCAATCCTTGTCGCACCATGTTCCGCCGAAGTCGTGGGGGTGCTTGGTGCGTCGTGGCCCTCGCCCTATGTTTCAAAATATCGCAACACACTTTTTTTTCGTTACGTTTCGTGTTGAGTGCTCAAGTTTGGGTCTTTTATTATGACCACCAAAGAAGTATGTTTTCAAGAGCTCCCAAGGTGTGTTTTTTTAGCCTGTCGTTTTAATCTATGAACAGGTACAATCCGAATAGGTACTTTATAGACTATAAATATGCATGTTTAACCCACCATTATTATCCTCGTAATTTCAGAGATTTCTTTCGCTAGGTATGAAGTCTATCGCTGACTTCTACTCTTGGTTCTACCAACTCTGGATCATGACCACCCTAAATATGTGGTTTACTTTAATACCAGGCTAGACTTTGTATAGTTGCATTCTTTTGCGACCACGTTATCGCTGGCAAATGCGGGCACTAAATGTGCCATATTTTCACTCCAAGCGGTTGCATTGGAGTAATGACGGATCATGTTAGTGATGATGGGAACTTTGGCTGGAAGATAGCAGATGGCAGGCGAGAATTTGAAACTCGCTATACAAAATGCATACTCAATATACGATTCGATTAGGATATCCACGTAGTGGGGCACAACTATGTGAGCT